ACGCGATGTTGACTACATCACCCATGGAGGGTTGATTGGTCTATGAGAACATAAGTCTAACCTCATGTGAACGATGTGCTACTGACATCTAAAGGGATGTTTACTTTGCTTACTTACCAGACCTACATTTTTATAGACTGATCTGCGCTGGGTAAGTCGTAAAGTAAATCAGTCCACCACCTTTTAATTCCCATGATATTTCCTGGTAACCATTTTAGGCCGGCAGAGGATGAAGAGGATTCAAACCTAGATCTTCAGGTCAACAATCATCTAGCACAGGCATTGCACCCTTTTTTCCAGTAATAATTTCTTTTGGAATATTAAACATTACCCTTGAGTCACACAAAATATGTTTTAAAAAAAAACACACAAAAAATATCATGTTTAAAATTACACAGTAATTATATTCCTGTAACAACCACTGACATAATTAATGGTAATTTAGCAATGAGTATAATCTGTGCAATACTGAACTTATTCATAATCTGTTTCAAATCACAATTAATCATTAACATCATGGGAGATAATAGGTTGACATGGCTGGGGCATATTGAAAGAAATCAGATAACAGAGAGTTAAAACAAGGGAGATGAATGGTTGTAGACCATGAGGCAGACCAACCAGAGAGACGGTATGGAGAGATAATGTCCCTCAAGGACTGACCTGTAAAAAACGGAAATGAGAGGCGGGTGATATCTGCAGCAAATGAACCAATCAATGCTGAGAGATTAAGAAATGAATGGAGGCGGGTGATATCTGCAGCAATGAACCTCAAGGGCTCGGAATGCTAAAGAAGAAATGTGTGCAATACTGAACTTATTCTGTGTCCAACTCCTCATTAATCCTTGTTTTATTATGTCCTCAGTGTGTGCTCAGTGGTCCTCCTACAATTATAGACATTAAAAAACCCTGCTTTTCTTGTTCTGGAAAAGATAAATTTCAGATCACTTGGCATCCCACATGGGTTCTGAGGCCCAATTCTGGGTATTCTGGGGGTGGGGCGAAAAGCATAGTTAAGTTCTTAGTCAATAGTCCTGTGTTAGTGGAAATCATACAAAATGTCTGTCACTGTCTCCTTTGAAAACTAGTGAAAAACATGTCAGGCTCAGCCAAATCTTGAAGCTCGCACACTGCAAGTAAATACATTATTATGTTGTAAAAGGTGATGAATAAGGAGTCTGATAATGAAATCAGATGTTTTAAGCAGGAAAGCTCAGATATTGCAGCCCAGCTATAAACCACAACACAATGAGCCAAGCATCCTCTGAAGGGTAAGTGCAAAAGAAGATCACTATCTATTCATTAATAATCAGTCATTTGTGATATCTTTAATGGTTTAATCTTGATTTTAAACCATGCCTTGGCCAGTATTTTCTAGCGCTGGCAGCACTTTCCACAAAGTGAACAGATTAGGTCTAGCAAGTTTTCTGCTACTAGTTTTAGGAGTGTATTTGTCTACTGTAAAATTCAGCAACACAGCTGAGCTTAACCTCCGTTTTCCTGATGGGCATAGGTCAAGCAAAGGACCCCTTTTCCACACCTTCAGGCGTATTGGGCATCTAGGGCTAGACCTAAATTTTAAAGACCAATCTGCACTATGTGCCATCTTTACTTCCCAGGACTTTACCTGGTACCCATTTAAGGCTGGGTTGACCTAGAATGCCAAGGACAATAAGCATAGATAACATTTTCTTCTCAGTGTGATCAATCAGTTTAAAGAAACTTCAACAGTTCACATTTAGGCTTCTTTGAAGAATAGCATGCAAAGAGAAAGAAACAAATTAAAGCTCCACGCATAAATGTGGAACTTTCAGATAAAATACTGGGATATCCATTTAAAATTAAAGACCTCCAATCAAAATGCTGGGATCTCCATACAAAACTTGGAATCTTCACACACAATAGTCAATTCTTGAGACAAAAAATGTGGGATCTTCACACAAAATATTCAAATCTTCAGACAACGATTTGAGATCTTCAGACCAAATAGTAGGATTTCCAGACAAAATATTGGGATCTTGGTCTATTTTAGTGACTGTGCATGCTTCTTCCTACGTGTTATTTTTTTTTCTGAGTTCAGATATTTGGTTCACATCAGTTACCAATAAACACTTTAACCCCTTCTGATTCATAGTGTTATTTTAATATCAAATGCCTAGGACAGAAAGAATTAATGTATTGTAATTTAAAACAAACCAAACATTTCTATACATAATTAACAGTAAATATAACCTAATGGCACTTGGCACTGGGAAAGTAAATAAGGCCTATCTGGCGCATCATCATGGCACACTTTGTTCCTTTACTGAAGTTCTAACACCTTAAAATTTAAAAAGCATTTAACAATACAAGGTGAATCCCCTTTAAAACAGTTTCCCTTCAATAATCACACTCAGACCCTCAAGAGTTGGAAACATTCCTAGAATCCATTCACTGAAGCTTCTGTCAGCTGCATTATTGCTGACATTCTCAGCATCCCCAAACTGCTGATTTGAGATGAGGGAACAAGAACAGATCAGACTGCAAGATTTCAATAAAATGGAGGATGTTTTAGGACAATTACATTGTGTATCTTCTCTTACGTGTCTCCATTTTAAAGTGGTAGAGGGGCTTGTGTGTTCCAGTGACCACACGAGCTAAAATGGCTGTAGCGTGGCTACTAGCAGAATATCCTACATCTGTGAGGTCAAGCAGCAAGGTCCAGGCAAAGGCGGACAATGATGAAAACAGAGATCCCTTCAAGTGGTTGCTGTATTAGATGACTGAGCATGTATGGAAATGCCCAATGTGCAGTGACATCGATTTTGATAATATAATAAAAGACATAAAACTGTTGCTTTGTAACTAAATCAGTCGAAGGCCACAGAAAGAAAATCATTTTAAAAAAAGTTTATCAACATCAGGACAGATGCTCTGAGTCCCAGCTTTGATGAAACTCCTCGATGATAACGATGAGAAGTAAGTACTGCTTAGCTTGGTGGAGCTTGAATGCTAATGCGCTGAAGCTGAATCCACTTGCTCACCACTTTTCATTTAATTATTTGTGCCACTAAAAAATTTAGTAATTTCTTCATTGTGATATTACCATAGACTTTCTAATGCAAAGTTAACATTTCTGAAGGTGTCTTCGGAATCCACCAAAAATAACACCGGACATCTCAACTTCTTCTAGTCAAGGATATTTTCAATGACGGTAATGTTCAGAGCACAAAACACAAACTTGTCACTTTAGTCAGTCAGTAAAAGAGAAGGTTATTTTTAGCAATGTTACTTCCTTAAAGTCACAACAATCTTTTCAAAACTAACTTCCAAGACATTATCATTTACTCAAACAGGAATAATTTATTCAAGGAACTATTCTACAGTACCGAACATTTCTAACTAGCAGAATAAGTCCATTTGGCAAGTTATTTCAAGGAAAATTCTGTAGTCTCTGACTAGATGTTCACAACATCACAGATGATTACTGGACAACAATTAAAGAGTTATGTTGGGTAAGAACCAACATCAAAGGCCTTGGAGCATTCTCGTAAGTACTCTGCCCCCAATCTTTTCAGCAGCCAGTAAATAGGTTTTAATACCAATGGTGTCAACTGCACTCTGATTATTTATCCATTTACTTTTACTAAGAACATGCACAAGTAAAACATGCATGCTGTAAAGAGTTTCTATATGTTTTAGTCTTGAACAGTTTCTATATATTTTAGTCTGAACACCAGCTAACATTTTTATGAGAATATTTAAAAAAAAATTTCTTCTACAACTGATAGTGTGTAGACAATAGCTTTTTCTTCACTTGCTTTTCATCTCTCAATTTGAGAGACAAGTTCTTTATAGACTTGTCCAGCATCAGTTTAATTTTTCTGCTTGTCTCCTATGCGATGAAATGACTGGTGTCACAGACTTCTGCAGTTGCCTCTTGTGACAGTGTTACTGTTCAGTGCTTCTTTTATGGATCCTGGTAACATTTGGCAGAATGTAGTAGTTGGTCAATAAATCAATCAGCTGCTATCTCCACCATGCAGGTTGGTTACATGGGCTCTTCAGCATTCTCTTGTCTTTTGCCCTTGACATACTCTCTCAGACGACCGTTTGTCCATATCTTAATACTATCCTTCCACTTTTATTGCTAGCCTTCAACCTCCCCTCCCCCCCCCCCCCCCCCCCCCACATGGTTTTTATAAGATGTGCTTTGCTGGGGGGAAAAATCGCCATGTTCAACCAGCATCCTTGACTCCCTGCAGTGTTAATATGATCAAAGAGACAGATCCACATACTGTCCTGACCGGTGACAAAATCATCTACCGGCGAGCCGATGGGCGACCTAGTCGCCGCTCTTTCTTTAAGAGTGTTTATGTCTTTTAATATGGCGAAGATATTTTACTAGTGATACCAATGCTAACTTTGGGGTGTTACAGTGTGAGGTCCCAAACACTTCCACAACAGTGTAAAAACTGCTATAATTTATTTTTATAATTAGTATCTGTGATAGAATTCAATATTTTATTCAGTAACCAAACATGCCCCAACCTATTTTCTGCTACAAAAAGGCATCAGAGAGCTATTTAGAAAACTACAATTCTTTGTTATCAATACCTTGCTAAAAACCTTACAGTCACACAAATGTTAATAAACATTTCTTAATATCAAATAACAAACAATAGTTGTGATAAACAACCAAATGTATGAAATGCAACTTCTCACAGTAACATATGTAAGTTTGTGGCCACATCCAACTGTATGCAACTGTAGATCCAGCTACAACGAACTGAATATAAAAAATAAAAATACAACCTGAAAGTGGTTATCACGAGATTGTTTTGACCCTGCCAGACACAGATCAGTGTCGAAAACTCAACGGGAATGGTAAGCATTTAACAGCACCAACTCTCACCTGCATTCCCCTGATGAGAATGCATATGTAATCAAGACAAGGAATCTGAGAAAAGTACTTCTATAAAGTGATCACCAGACATTGTGAATAGTCTTTGCTTTGGCAATCAGAGCGGGTTAATGACTTCCACATAGTTGATGGGGAAGAAACCGGCTTGTCCTTTAAGAGATCCCTCAAACCAGTTCTCATCAACCTGCGGAAAATATGGTTAATAAATTCCTTTTTAAAACACTGATGAAATTAGTCTGATAAAAGGAATTTGATCTGTTAATATCCCGGTGTGGGTTCTAAGGCCCTTTTATAGGGAAAACAAGAACAGACCCACTGCCTACCCAAAAGCATGTGGTGAGAGTCGACTTATTTGGAGCTTCCTTCGAAGTCAGAGTGCATCTGCCTGAGAGGCAAGGAACCACCAGTCTACACACGCAACATCCAGGTTCTGAAAGAGGACTGCAGTCCCAGAAGTGGACAAACAACCAGAACCTTCTGCCAGAGTTTACAGCTAGTGAACGCGAAGGAGATCTGTTAATAAACTAATTTATCAATATTTTCAATAAAAGTGATAGCATTTCTTCAAATAAGCTCTCATAAACCCATAAAAGGAATGGTTTGTACATATGTATTAAAACATTACTCTGGGGTAAAAGGAGGAACGTCGCTGTAGCTACAGAGTTATGTGCGAACGGCGACACAGGCGGATAATTCTTATCAGCTGTCCGTACTGGTGGCAGAGCACTTACGGTTTATAACTGCGTGCAATGACGCTGGTTCACATCTCCCGATGTTACCCTTTAAAAAAAAAATTAAAACATTGAAGTAATTGGTGAAGTTAGCACTATTATTGTGATTTACTGCTAGATTTCAAAAGGTACACCATTCAGCCTAAAAAAAAAATGTGATTTCAGCACAATGTTCATAAATTACCTTCTATGACATGCTTGCTAAGAGGTATTGTGTCTATTCTTTTTGTTTTCTAAAAATGGGGCCTTGGAACCCAAACTGAGAAATGTCTTGAATGAAAAGAAATCTTTTTCGGATCCTAAGAAGACAATAAATCAAAGTACCTTTATATAGTTCAAATAATTCTTTAACTATCAAAACTACTAAACAGGAAACTGCCACGAAAAAGCACACAACAGCCAGTAAAAGCTGGGACGTTTGCAATATTCGCCTTGTTCTTCAACTGCTTGGTCCACAGACTGGCTGGCACCAGTCCACAGAAATTACCTGGTGGTCTATCCAATTATATCAATTCTGTTGCAAACTAATTAGAGTAATCAAATGGATTTTATTGTAGCACTGCCTAATCTCTCAGAAACAATGCATATTAGTTATAAAAATTTTTTATTTTATAATGTCATATTTAATAAACAAAAAGCTATATACATCTACCATTAGTCCGTTTACAAAATATTTTATCTATTTTCTACCAGTTTCGCTGTCAAGGAGATGCCCTAATTTTGACATTATTAACTAATAAAGACCACCAACAGTGCCGGACTTCACTGAGATTGTATTTACCAAACTAGTTTATGGTAAAAATGTAATCCAGGAGTGATAAGAAGAGATAATATCTGGAATTAGATCATAAAAGGAAAAGTCAGCACAGAACCAATTCTAAATTACTGACAAGGACAGCAAATCAGATGGTTTTCCCACTTGGAGTGATGCCATGCCAAATAAGGCATACACTTAAAAAAAAAGGGAGAAGGACATAAAACATGAGGCAGACCAAGAACCACATGGAAAGATAACATCAGAGAAGAAACTACAAGAGTATGATATGTCTTTAGTCGAGGAAGCCAGAACAGCAAGAAGTAGAACATTATATTTCCCTCAGTGCCAGAAGCAGTAAAAGAGGAAGTGAAGAAGTAGGAGACAGAAAGTCAAAAATTTAATCTCACAGATAACATTACATGGACGGCGTCTGTGGCTTAGGCATTGTGAGCGCACTTTGTGCCGAGGTTCGATCCCAGCTACGGGCCTTGCACCTCCAGTTTCTACAGTGGTATCAAGAAACTGACCATCCAGAAAATTATAGCAAACTACTGGACATAAATATGTCTAGAAAAACCACAACAGATGAAAAATGCTGGGGTTGGTTCTGCAAAGTCCTGTAAAGGATACACAGCTTACTTGAACATTACATAGGAAAAAGAAACATTAGCACAAGCAACTGACCTGACTTATAAGATCAATGTAGTCACCTTCCTGGAAAGCCAGCTCACCCTCATTTTCAGCAATAAAGTCGTACAGAGCTCTAGCCATCGGCTTCTTCTTAGTGTCAGGAACTACAATAAACAGATATTCAATTCAATTCACACAAACACGACTCCTGAAAGTGTGACTTATGACTGGAAGCAGAATTCTGAAAATTTGTTTGGCAATAACAATACACATTTGGGTGCTTTATTAATTTTCTACCATAAACAGGAAAAATCCACAGGTCACGGGACAGTCAAATATTTCAGGGGGTGGTAGATAGGCTGCATTCAGTTGTGGGACCTAGGCTGCACTCTCTCGTGGGACGAAGGTGGGTTGGAGTTAGGGCCAGTTCTAGATGTTTTAGGGTAGTTAAAAGCATCAGAAAGCCGGGAAACCCAGTGTTACCATCCTCTAAAATGTTCGACTGTCCTGTGACGTCATCTGGGGTAGGATATTAATAAAGCACCCACATTTGTTATAATAAAACAGTTTAACAATTGTATACTCCCCATGCACTCTGACATCCCTTATCTCGACACAGACACACACTATAACATTTACAAGGATGTGGAACTTGACACAGAAAACATGGAATTAACATCCTCAATGTAGCATAACAACCATGGCCCTTGACACAACCAACACTGAAGCTCCATGCTGTAAATAAAAGTCTATTCAAGTTTCAGGCTGCTACATTTCAGTGCATTACCGGTTAAGGTGCATACTAAACAATAAACAATAGCAAGGTAAGTAAAGTACAGGAGCCTTTTCCACACCTTTAGGTTTATTAGGCATATAGGGCCAGAACTATATTTTACAGACCAATCAACACTTGGTGGGTAATCTGGTCATCATGCTGGCCACCTTTACTTCCCAGGACTGCACCTGGTACCCACTCAAGGCTAGGTCGACCTGGGAGTCAAAGTCATTTTTGAAGAAAGCTCGGTTCTAAATATCAAGGTTGTTGAAGAAATAATAACATAATGCTGGGAGATTAAGTACTGGTTCTTTATGTTAGCATGCATAGGGGCCAAAGCAGCACAGGGGCTAGAAAGTCTGATGGCTTTGAATTCATATTCCCATTCAGTTAGATTTGTATAATTGATCTGGGCTCCCAGAAAGACCCAAAATAATATTAATATCCTGGGCACTAAAGTCGCCATAAGCACAATTTGACAATTTTCACCTGTGCATTTTCGGTGCTTCTATTTGTCATTTTACAATTTGCCAAAGGCATATATGTTATTCCCCATACAGGTTTCCGGGTCCTATATTTGGGGGGGGGGGGGGGGGGGGGGGGGGGGGGGGGGGGGGGGGGTGAATAGACCCATTGCTCCCTTACAAGCAGGTCATACAAGGCGACTAATTAGGGGTGTTTCCTTTGTAGTCAAAGAGCATCTGCCTGAAAGGTAAGGAATCAACAGTATGTGTACAAATAAGCCAGATCTGTCAAACGGATGTGCATGCAACACTCAAGTCCTGGAACAAGACCAAAGTCCAGATGTGGATGAACAACCAGAACTTCCTGTTGGAGGTCACGTAAGTGAACACTAAGAAATTTGTCCCGTTCTTTGAAATTCGTCCTGTCCCCCCCCCCCCCCCCCCCCCACATTTTAATTAGATTTTCACCTGAAAAGTCAACATTCATCTTTTGATCTGTTCATAGTTAGCTGCATTTTGCAACTACAGGATGGCCATCTCCAGCCATCCTTGAAATTTACCCTGGTAATGCACAGACAGTTTTAACTTTAGGCTGTGAACGTGGGCAATTAATAAACAAGCCAAACAATCTAAGGCCTTAGATATGTGGTTTCACAGAAGAATGCTTACAAATTCTTTGACAGCCAAAAAAGAGTAACCCAGTTGTTCTGAAAGAGTTGAGGATCCGAAGATAATTTATCACAAACAGCAGGGGACGGTCATTATTTTTTTGTGTGGCTATGTTATGAGAGGAAGGAACCTAAAACAAGTTGTGACAACTGGAAAGAACTGTGGAAAGAGAGACAGAGGGAGACAACATGAGAAGATCCTTGACAGCTTTTTGTCCTTACAGGAAAGGGTGTTAGTACATGGACTGGTGCATGCTGCTGGAGATCACAAGTTCCTAAGATGCATATCACACATGACAGTTGGCAAGGCACCTGATAATGAACTTACAACCCTTTTATCCATACATCTTTATTGTGAAAATTGGAAAATCAATTAAAAGCAAGCAGTTTTAATGACTGTGTATGCTCAGAGAAACAGATACATAAGACAGCTTACAATTATACCTCTCTCTGAAATGTGAAACTGTTGAGATTAAAAAATCTATTAAAAGGCACTGTAAAAATAAGAAAGGAAATCACGGGGACAATAGGCAAAGATCCCCTCCCTCATCTTTCAAAAAAGTTATGGACCATAGTTTTAAAAAAAAAAAGTAGGAGTAAAAACATAAATCTGTACAGAAACAACAAAAGAACTGGAGAATATGTGAAATAAAAATAACAGTAGCAATGAAAAGTCTGTAGGGGAAAAAAAATTACATGCATCAACAAATATAAGAAAAATATGTTACCGACCCTTAAACAATTACAAAAAATATATGCTAACAAAGAAAGACAATTACCAGTACATCCTAGCATCCATCAGTGAACTAAAATGAATCAAACAAACACACTCTTCAATTGCTTTGTGACACTACATAACAATTCAAGCAGATATTCATTGATGGAGTGCAACATTTAAACTCTACTATGGCAACATTAATTCTAGTAGTTCAATTCAGCTTAAATCAAATCACAGTTTAAATAATATCTCAGTATTTTCTTGACACCCTTCTTTTCATGGCAAGGAACAGTGTCAAAGTAAAGCCAAATACGATGCAGATCTTTTATGAAGAACTCACCGGGGATCCCAAAATTTTTCTTCTTATCACAAATTCCTCTTATCCAGAAAAGAATTCAAGCTTAAAAAAAAAAAAAGGCAGGGGATAAACAAATTGTTCCTTACAATAGAAATTTGCCACATCTCAAATCACTTTAAGTTGTCTCCACTGTACTCAGAGATAACCGGGTGGCAAACCCTTGAGGCCATAGAAACAGTATAATAAAGAAATGTATGCATTGACTGGCTCTCATAGAAAGATAGAAGGACACACCATACAACATTAAAATTGAAAGCCAACATGTTGGGAATCGAACCTGGCACCTCCAAATGACAACAGTGCCTTGCTGCAAGAATGCAGGACAGGTTCCTTTTTAGTATGGTAACCAAAGCTTTTTTTTCTTCCTCAAGTGGTATGCAGTACCGGAACCAGTTTTTAGGCATCATTCTTTCAGGGCTACTTTAATAGACACTTTGTGGTGAATATTGGCACCTATTTTTCTAGTTTAAAAAAAAAGGCCTTGATGGTAACAATAGCTTTAGATTTTTTTTTGTCTAGTTCCTTATGTGAGTTCTAATGCCCCATTATGAGTGGGGGTAGAGGAGGGAAGAAAAACTGAACCACAGCCCTCTAAAAATCATGTTGTGGAATGTGACCAAGAGTAGTGTTTCCTTCAAAGTTAGAGTACATCTGCCTGAGAAACAAGGAACCAACAGTCTGCATAAAAATAAATCAGATGTGCAAAATTTCTGTGCATACAAAACTCAAGTTCTGGAACAAGACTAAAGTGGGTGAACAACCAGAACTTTCCACTGGAGTTTACAGCTGGGCACGTAAAGAGAAAGGAGATGTTTAGTTTGTCGTCCGATCCCTCTACTTTCTTCTATAAGTGCTCACCTATGCAGGTCAATTTGTTTAACAAATGGATGCATGCTGTTGGAGACTGCAAGATGTGAAGTATCAGACTGCCAATGTCTTTCAGCAAGGGAAGTGATTACGAAGAACATAACTTTAACACTGTGTACATTCTCCATTACTAAAACTTGATGTGTTAGTGAATATACTCATATATCCTGGACCTGGACGTGAATATTCCTCAAGAAAAAAAGACATAATTTTTTCCACGTTTCCTGCATCACTGCGGTGAGAACTGTCATGAATAAATTTATGAACATCTGATTCAGATGTTTCGCAAGTGGTGAGAGCCCAAAGAAAACTTATCACAAACATCAGAAGGAGACAGTAATCATTTTAAGTCATGTTATGAGATTTTAACTCTGCACATTGTTCAATACTAAAACCTGATATGTAGTGAATATACCCCTAGTGATCTATAGTCAATGTACCTTATTACTTATGTACTGAATGTAGTTTAACTCTGCACATTGTTCAATACTAAAACCTGATATGTAGTGAATATACCCCTAGTGATCTATAGTCAATATACCTTATTACTTATGTACTGAATGTAGTTTAACTCTGCACATTGTCCAATACTAAAACCTGATATGTAGTGAATATACCCCTAGTGATCTATAGTCAATGTACCTTATTACTTATGTACTGAATGTAGTTTAACTCTGCACATTGTCCAATACTAAAACCTGATATGTAGTGAATATACCCATAGTGATCTATAGTCAATATACCTTATTACTTGTGTACTGAATGTAGTTTAACTCTGCACATTGTCCAATACTAAAACCTGATATGTAGTGAATATACCCATAGTGATCTATAGTCAATATACCTTAATACTTGTGTACTGAATGTAGTTTATGTGCATGCTTAAACTGTCGCTCTTTAAACTTATTCAGTACCAAGAAACTCACTATGTGGTTAATTAGGCTTCCCTAAAATGATGCTTTTATCATTCTCTTGTACCCATGCCGGCTGTAGTATTAACTCACTCTACTCCAGTTGTTATGATTAAAACAAGGACTTCTGTCTATCAGGCTTGTGTTCTCAGCGCTCTGCTTTATGGCAGTGAAACTTGGTCAACTTATTCACACCAGGAGAACGGCTAAATAGCTTTCACATGTGATACCTAAAATACTTGGCATTAAGTGCCAGGACAAGATCACAAACATTGAGGTATTGGAAAAAGCATGTATTACAAAGATTCCTCAATGCTTAGTCTATGAAGGCAGGTCGCTGGGTCACGCCTGGAGAATGGAAGAGTCCCTAAGGACATTCTCTATGGTGAACTCACGACGGGTAGAAGATGTTGAGGCCGATCTCTACTACGATATAAAGATGTGTACAAGAGGAACATGAATGTTACTGGTACTGAGGTGGACTCGTGGGAACTAAATGCCATAGGCCATGTTGCATGGAAGAGGCGCATCAGGAGGGGAATAAGAATGTAGGAAGAAATGATTGCAGAAAGGATGATAGCTGAGCGCCTGAGAAGGAAAAGACTAAACACAAATGTTGACAACGGTCATGAAATCTCATGCTATAACTGTGGAAGACTTTCATTAATGCGGGCGGGTCTTGCTAGTCACACTCACCATGGGCTGTGAGTCCTGTGCTTCCTCATAGCTCAATATAACACTATCGTCTGAAAAGACGGAAAGGTGCCAATAAATCATTCCAATTGTTAACATTATTTGCGGCGGCAGTGGCGGAGATGTGGTTTTGTAAACAAATAATAAGAATAAACCGGACAAACAAAAGGAGTAATGAAGATGTCTTGAAAGAAAATGACTCACAAAGAAACCTTACTGACCACATCAGAAGACAATGTATGTTTTGGTCAGTTATGAGAATGAGAATACTGGACTACATCATGACAGTGGGGAGGGGCAAAGAGGCAAACAGTGGGAGAAGATGCAAGTCTGTCAGACTCCAGTTTTCTCCTCATGACATGACTAAAGAATCAATTCTCTACGTGAGTCAATTTCCTTCAAGTCATCATCATTAGTCTTTTTGTATGTCTAGGGTCTCATCATGGTCTATAAAACCACATCCAGACTGCTTCCATATAATTTTTCTTTAACTGGGCAACTGTCCTTGATTCACTATATTTCATGATAGAATTTATAAAGCTTTGGAGAATTCTCTTTCTCACCTCAATTGACAAAGAAAGATTGCAAAGAATATTCTTCATTTTGTCAAATGCTGCCTTTGCTTGAGGCACTCCATGCTAAACAATTATTATTGTATTTATTTTGTTGTTACTTATAGCAACGAGGGTACAGCAGTAAGGGAAGATAACCACCGACATGCAGTTATAATTTAACATACACATGCAAAAGCAACCACAAAAAGTTACCACATTTAATGACTGACCATATAGCAGACATAAAAAAAAAATTGTTGGGTGTTTAAATAAAAAAATAAAAAATGTGTCAGATCACGATTATTTAGTTTGCAAGACACACTGATGCTTCTTAAAAAAATATCAAAGGCAAAAATAATAAGCTTATCCATGCACTATGCCAAAATACACTTTTTCTCTGTTCTTATTCTATGTAAAGCATACACAGTAAGCTCCTATTTCTGAGTCACTGACGGCCATTGAGAATATTCTTACCAGCATAAGATCCAAAAGGATCTTGTTCGCCATAGAAGTCATACCCTAGAAGGAAATGTCACCGAATAAACAGGGATGATAAATGCAACACTTTACACATACTAGTGATGTCAAAGATATGTTTCCTTTTCAAACTTAACACATCATTACTAAAGCTGAATCTAGTTCCATCCACCAGCAACTGAGTTAAGTGCATGGTGTGACACTACGAATGGGAATTTCATGAGGAACGCTTCTTGTCTGTGCTTTAGAAATGCGTACTCTAAACTGTACATTCAGATATTGGTGAATGGCTGGTTGCCACAGATTATGTTAAAACCAAAGAAATTCCCTGACATCTCAAAACTGTACAGACTAGGCTGCAATAGGCACACCAGTAGCTAAATCTTAAGCAATTTAGCCACCATTACCAGACACAGGAACTGTATGTACAAATCTGTGGAAATCAAGGGAAACCTCCACACTCATTCCTCAAAAGTAAGTTAGTGGGATGTCAACAACAACAAAAAACTATGGCAGATGACCTTTTCAAGTTTTGATAACAGTCTTTAGACTGAATAATGTAGCAAATAAAATATAAGTTATATTTTTAATACTACTAACAACAACTGGTATATAGCAAGCAATGTTAGTGTGTTGTTAATTCCAAGCCATAACAGGAGGTAAGCTATAATTTGCAACTGCATTCTAGAAATGTTATGTTAATGCTAATAAACAAACACACATGACAAACAAACTTACTCTGGTTTTCAGAAAATGTATACTTGTCTTGCAATGAGTTTTCATGAACTAATTTCTAACTGCTATTAGACAGGGGTCCAGGTTCAATCCCCAGCAGAGGAAAGATTACTTTTTTTTTTTCAACCCTGATGGCTCTGGGGTTGTTACAACCTCTTGAAAATTGGTATTAAATTTTCAGAATTTTCTTTGAGATTGTTTAGAAAGGAAAGGTGATGAGAATAAACACATTACACTATCTAAGACAGCAAGAAATAAAGGCAAGAAAGACAGAAATATTAATTAACACAACTCCCTATGACCAAAAAGGCAATAATGGTCAACAGATTCCGGTGAGTCACAGACTTTAAAATGGTCACAGAGACAACACTCATCAATAAACTCCAGTGAATCATAGACCTTACAATGATCACAAAGGTAATACTGATCAATTAACTCCAGGGAATCATAGACCTTACAATGATCACAAAGGCCAATTTTCATATCTGTCAAAAAGATTAAACTGATATCTGGTTAAATAAATGGGTTGTCTTTCTCTTTACCATCGTTTGACAGAGTGATGTATAGTGCCTGTTCAGAGCATAGCTGCGATAGGTGTGCCTTTCCGTTGACACATCCAACTTCTTTGGGCATTAGTTTTCTGGGTGAGCCTCCCCGGTTAGTTTCATGGGACAAATAGGGTCATTTTTTTACAGCCTCATTATGTCATGACATGACCATCTCTTGATCTATAGGTGTTGTCCCTAGAGAATAGTCCAGGACAGCCACGTGCAGAATGGTCAACCCCCAAGGGAAGGAAGGGGCAGAACATGGGCATTCTTGGCACCCAGGGAGGCTACCATAAGTGCAAAGCTGATAAATGACACTCTGGTTTGGGCTCACCGAAAGAATAGTCACGTCCTGGTCATGACTGCTTAACCTGACATCTGTATATTCATTCAGCTCTTTACTCGCCACAGGCTGCATGCATTAGGAATCACCAGGAAGCAGTATGCAAACCAGAGACTTTGATTACATTCACAAAAAAGGGCATCTATCTTTCTAAACATGTTAGACTTCCTATCTCTGCAGTAGCACTTTGTGCATGGGTGCCCTGGGGCACTTTGTGCATGGGTGTCCTGGGGCACTTTGTGCTGCCTTTATGGAAAGCATGCATCATGCATGGACTACATTTATGGCTATTTCACTCTGATGAGTGTGGTCAAGTAACAGACATTTGAGCCATCTATCTGTATCATAAAGTATGATCTTTTAGCAATGAACATCTGAACCTTTGCTGTCATACAGTATGGCACTCAATGGATGGACAACTGAACCAAAGTAGCCATACAGTAGGACTCGGTCTACAGATGTTTGAAATACGGTGTGTCATGCAGTTGGGCACTCGATGGATGGACAACTGAACCAAAGTAGCCATACAGTAGGAATCGGTCGACAGACATTTGAAAAAAGTTTGTCATGCAGTTGGGCACTCGATGGATGGACAACTGAACCAAAGTAGCCATACAGTAGGAATCGGTCGACAGACATTTGAAACAAAGTTTGTCATGCAGTTGGGCACTCAATGGATGGATAACTGAACCAAAGTAGCCATATAGTAAGACTTGGTCTACAGACGTTTGAAACAAGGAGTGTCATACAGCAGTGGACTTCACTCATGTTCCAAATGAGTTTTCGATGGACGTTATCACCAATACATTAGGGTGGGCTGATGAATACTATACCATTTCTAGACACTGCATCTGGGAGCCACCAACTGGATATCCCTTGCTAGCTCACTTTAGGCTGATATAGGTCATTATCCGTGATGCATGATGAGGACATGTGGCAGTACTCTTGCATGAGGTTCCATTAAATCACCACAGATCCTGCTGGCATTCAAGATGAGGTATGGAGTATCTCCTTACGTACAGCACAATCCCTTGAACTTTTCCTGATGCCTTTGACATAAATCACTGCACCACCAAATGGTTCACAGTTTTCTTAAAAGAGATTAGACTGACAACAGGATAGGAGGAAAAGTCATGGTTTCAATTTTATGTGAAAGAGATTAATTCACCATAGGTGATGTCAGTACTTTAATTAATTTCCGTCAGCACACACTCTATAGTAGCCTGAAACATTTCTTATTTGAAAGATGAGACAATGTAGATATGGCCAAAGACACACTAATGAAAATAAAAATGCACGATTTAGTGGTAGCACACGGTTAACCAAAAATGATTCAAACTGTGGTATTAGAAAATAACAATTACTTATTAATTAACGACAGTAGGACTGCAAATAAAAATTGTGAAACAGATCCTAGATAAATTTAGACTTAATTAGAGTACACAATATAACCTTCTCCAATCACAATCATGGCATAACTTTACACAGATGATAAGTGCTGAGAATGGCACACATACTTCAGAGAAACTGAGAACAACACACATGCTTCAAACAGACAGAACAACACACATACTTCAGACAGACTGAGAACAATACAGACATTTCATACAGACTGAGAACAACACACATACTTCAGAGACTGATAACGGCACACATATTTCAGAGAGACTGAGAATGGCACACATACTTCAGAGAGGCCGTGAACAACACACATACTTCAGAGAGACTGAAAAATACACAAACTTCAGACAGACCGAGAATGAAATACATACTTCAGAGAGACTGAGAACAACATACATACTTCAGAGAGACTGAAAACAACACACATACTTCAGAGAGACTGAGAACAACACACATACTTCAGAGAGACTGAGAACAACACACATACTTCAGAGAGACTGAGAACAACACACATACTTTATACAGACTGAGAACAAAATACATACTTCAGAGAGACTGAGATCAACATACATACTTCAGAGAGACTGAAAACAACACACATACTTCAGAGAGACTGAGAACAACACACATACTTCAGAGAGACTGAGAACAACACACACACTTCAGAGAGACTGAGAACAACACACACACTTCAGAGAGACTGAGAACAACACACACACTTCAGAGAGACTGAGAACAACACACACACTTCAGAGAGACTGAGAACAACACACACACTTCAGAGAGATGGAAAAATGACACACATACTTCAGAGAGAAAGAACAACATACATACTTTATACAGACTGAGAACAAAATACATACTTCAGAGAGACTGAGATCAACATACATACTTCAGAGAGACTGAAAACAACATGCAAACTTCAGAAAAACCGAGAATGACACACATACTTCAGAGAGACTGAGAACAACACACACACTTCAGAGAGACTGAGAACACACAAACTTCAGAGAGACTGAGAACACACATATTTCAGAGAGATGGAGAACGACACACATACTTCAGAGAGACTGAAAATGACATACATACTTCAGAGAGACTGGGAACAACATATTTGCTTCAGAGAGACTGAAAACAACTTTCATACTTCAGAGAGACTGAGATCAACATACATACTTCAGAGAGACTGAGAACAAAATACATACTTCAGAGAGACTGAGAACAACTTTCATACTTCAGAGAGACTGAGATCAACATACATACTTCAGAGAGACTGAGAACAAAATACATACTTCAGAGAGACAGAACAATACACATACTTCAGAGAGATGGAAAAATGACACACATACTTCAGAGAGAAAGAACAACATACATACTTCAGAGAGACCGAGAATAACACATATACTTCAAAGAGACTAAGAACGGCACACATACTTCTGAGAGACTGAGAACGGCACATATATTTCAGAGACAGAACAATAAATAAACAGAGGGGGAACCCTTGAAGAGGTATAAATATTATAATTTACTCACACCATGAGGGTAAATGACAGTAGCTCACACTATGAGGGAAAATTACAGAATTCAGACTATGAAGGCAGCTGACCAGTTCACACTATGAGGACAACTGAAAGTAACTCAGACTATCAGGGCAAGTGACAAAAATTCAGTGCACTGACAAATGAAAGGTGCTCAAACTATATTGGCAACTGACAAAATTCAGACTCTACTAGCAACCAAAGCTCAACTGAGCCATATCCCAAGCATTTACCTGATTGATGATACGAGGGTGCCTTAATACTGTTGAAGGTGTAGCTGCCAGACTTGCCACCAATGTCTATGTTCTCATTCTGGTCGTCATAGCTGTTTGGAGACTCGCTGCGGTGGAATGAACCCACACGTTTTGGTATGTGCTCCGATTTGGGCCGGCTTGCCGCTTCGCTACGTCTTGAGAAATAAAGAATCAATTTTAGTCAGGTTTTTTATCCATGTATTTCTCAACATTTCATCTAAACAAAACAAAACATACACATACAAAAACCACATCTCCATTGCCTCAAGTTCTTTTACTATTTGATTATTTACTACTCAGTAATCTAATTCAAGTTGTAACCAGCCTGCTTAAAAGGGAAGGGGGGGGGGGTGGTCTTTGAGTCTGAGGATTTAGGGCCACAGGGCTAGTGTTGTTGACACAGACTGTGCCCCCGTCAAACAAACAAACAAAATTCTCAACCTTACAGAGGATTTGAACCTGGGTCTCCCGGTGTTCTTAACCGCTCGGCCAGCCACTCCTCGATAACTAAACATTTCAAATGCAATATCTCTCCCTCTGTATGCGTGGATGGAATTTTTATCAAAATTCCAAAACAACACTGATCTACAAACAATACAAGCTGCTATATTCAATTTGTCAGCATCTGTGGCTTGCGCGTTGTGAACAAGTGTCGTAATTCCTAGCTGCCGGGTTCGATCCCAGCTGTGGGCGATCTCTGCATTGATTTAGACAGGGTATCGAGAACTGACCATTCAGACGCAATTGCAAAAAAATGAACATAAAATTGCCTAGTAAAATCACAAACAGCCAACAAATGCCGGGATTGGTTCTGCAATGTCCTGTAAAGGATGCACAACTAACTTGTATATCAAAACACTGTTTCCTTACTGTAAATTTAAACAAAGAAGACATACACACTGGAATGCACAATTTACTTCTTGGCCTATTTTGCTATATCTCCTCAGGTGCGTACAACAATTACAATTAAATAAAACAAAGCAAATAAGTGAATACATTATAACTGAAGTACAAATTCAAACACTCTCAAAATCAACTGCCTTTTACCAGGGCAATCACAGCATCACAACCATGTCTTTCTGTTTACAAAGTTCTGGACGGAGGTAACGAACAGTGGCAGTTTCAAGAAACCTTAGCGCTCTACCACTGGACAACATACAAAGAATTTGAAATGTGCTGTCCATGTTTACAGCATGTCTGGAGTTCAAAAGGTGGTGCTCAACCAAAGAGGAATGGTCTCTCTGACCGGTCACCTAGGTTGTGTTTGTTAAAATACTGTTCTTTTGTTTTAATTCCTTTTGGGAATATATGCCAGGTAATAAATTATGATGTGCAATCTATTAATGGTGTCTTCCTTCTCCTTATTCAAAGTAACATATATATGTATGTGTGTGTGTATGTTTATATAAATATGCACAAATACTTACTTTTGTTCTAGAGTTTCTAATAATGACTGAAGAGTGTTCAGGGCTTGTCGGTGGTAATCCACTTCAGCTTCAATGAAAGCCTCCAGCTGGCTGATATACTCCACCTAGGTATGAAAGCAGAAACAATGTGAGGTGTGTGAAACATAAGGTTTTATTAATCCACACTAAAAATATTCACCACCTTAACATGCCAATCTAAATGAAACAATTTATTAACTTTTTGGTACCAGTTTAAAAAAAAATTACCAACATTTTCTATAAGAAATTCTACACTACAAGGCAGTTTTTAGATCAGATTAATTGAAATACAGCTGGATCAAAAGCTTACAATTTTGATAGTGAGTTAAATTAACTAATGATAGATAGGGGTGGGGTGGGCGGGGGGAGTAAGGTAAGGTAAGTTTTACCCCACCAGGGCATCACACTGAGCGATAAACACCCAGTGACACAAAATGCCACCATGCGGATGAGGATCCCCTGTGGAGAGGTCTCAGAAACCCAGTTCAACTGTTAGATTATATTAGGGCCCCTGGCAAAAGCCAGGGTGGGGCTTCAAAATATCAAAAAATTGCATCCTACCAGGGGACGACTTTTGATAGGAAAAAAAAAGTAAGAACAGATTTTGCTGTTGGCTAAATGGACATATAGTGAGTTGCTGGTACAAAAAAGGGTTAACCTAGTCCCCCAGAGAAAGCCGGTTTACTGATTTTTTAAAGGGTTTTTGATGACATGATGTTGTAGGGCGGTGGCCAATATAATTTTTTGTATCATTACACAGTCATAAACTTACAATGAAGTCACTTTGCTCTCTGTAATGTGTCAATAAAACCACTGTTTTCTTGGTCACTGGGAAGGAAAGAAGTTATTTCACTGCTAGGTTTGTAAAGGTAATGTTTTACTTTCCCCATCATATTTAAACACCCAGAAATGATAAACACAAATGGTGACTCTAAATATGACAAATCCATACTTTTGTTGGCCACTAGGACACAGCAATAGCGAATGACAGAACGACGGTGTGAGTTACTCATGTATTATCAGAGCAATGTGAGTACTATTTCAAAGCTATATATATATATAAGCCTGGTGTGATGGTTCCAATGCCTATGTCAATCCTTCGAAGGCATCAGTGTCATGGTCAACAATCACATTGTCAAGTCGGACTTACCAGAAGTGAAAGCGTGATAATGTATTGATCAGAACCAACGTTATGACGTTTCTCGGGGTGAGGTTCGATCGCAGCTTGTCATTCAGAGAACACGTTGACCATGTGGTAACAAAAGCACGCAAAGGTCTATCTGCAATGAGGATTATGGCTGCTTCCAACATTGAGCAAAGACTACTAATACTTCTATTTTACGGTTGGGGATTTTTGAATACGCTCTGATCACTGTCAGTGCTACCCAGATTGAACGACTCGAAAAGGTGCAAAATGAAGCCATGCGCATTATTTTTGGGATGTACTAGAGACACATCCTGTGGAGCAATGAAGTATCTACTTGACTTTCCAACAATGAGCATCAGGATGTGGAGGGCTCGGGCATATCTCAAAATATGTGCTGATAAGAAACACCCACTGCATCAAGCGCTGTTTTAGTGAAAAGGGCGACAGACTGAAGAGGGGGAAATCGTGGCTAGGTCGGGCAGAAGATGTTATTAGGCAAATATGCAGCCTAACCGACATCATACCTGGTGCAGAATGGATACCTGTGCCTCAGGCGTTTATTTGTACATTTTCCTGTATTGTCACTCAACAGGCGATGTAGAGAAGAGAATCCTGTTGCTGTTAATGCAGAGGTCAACGCTCTCATCGGTGAAAATTCAGACGAAGCAGATGCAAATAATCTATACAGATGGATCCGTTATACGCCAAAGAAGAAGCGCATGGGCATTTACAGCACGCTCACGGGCAGAACAGTCAAAGAAGCCAACGGCGCCTTCTCCATGACAACCAGCAGCATGACGATGGAGGTGATGGCAGTGACACAAGCGCTGCCTGGCTTGAAACACAAAAATACACCCGTTTGTGTATACTCAGTGATTCAATGAGTATGATCCGGAGGGTTCAGGCAGGTTCAGTGCAAAGCAATGGCTTGAATCATTACAGAAGTCCACTGTCCGTGGAGTCACCTTTATTTTTGTTCCCTTGCAGGCGTCGATGGAAATGAAAGAGCTGACAGGTTGGCTGGATCCGCTATCACACCGACGGTCAATGGATCATGCTGATATTATCAATGCCCTCAGAGAAATGGGAAGGATAGACGACTTTGGTGGCAGTGAATCCACATCACTCGCCAGAATGGCAGACTTGGGAATTAAGATCGGCACAGCAAAAAACGGACGCACACCAGCTACGCCAGAAGACGTTAATCAACATAGAACTGGTACTATTAGCCATCGGAGTTGGGGTTCATACTGAGGGGAGCATCTGAGCACCTATGGACATGTCCGGAGTGCAATGAGGATAACCCAACTAACTAACTAACTAGCTATATATATAGAGTGATTGTGTGCAAACCGTTTTTTGCCTCTAATGAAAAAGAGACAGGTTTACTTTTTCCTCTTTATTTTCTTAACAATTTAATGAAGCACCACAACAGTTCAAGATATACCTCATTTTCAAGCACATTATGCATAGCATTCTCTGCCAAATTTTTAGACTCCTCAAACTTGTCCTCTGCGGCTCTTAATTCCTCCTCTGTGACATTGGACCCTGTGAAAACAACAGTGCACTGAATAATAACAGTTTATTTTTTTTTTTCAAATCTAGCTTTTATTTTGGTGAGATATATGATTATTTTACAACAAGCTATGCAGATACAACTCTCATCACAAAGATGTTTCTTCTTCTTCTTTTCCTCCAGATATCTCAGCAAAGTTGGGGGGGGGGGGGGGGGGAGGGGGGGAGGGGGATCATCTGCGGGCTCTTTCAAATGTGCAGTATGCTTTTCTTCTTTATTTCTTTTATATTGTTTTTAGTTCCATCTTCTGTATAGTCTTTCACTTGGTCTGTATTCATTATATTTCTTTAGTGCGCCCCCCCCCCCACTTCAACAAAGGGGTCTAGCACAATCTGTCGGATAAATCAATCTAGCACCATATACCAAATGTTAATGGTTTATAAAGAGTGACCATGTAGGTAGGTAGTTGTACCCCACCAGGACAAAACACAAGCGATAAACACCCAGTGACACAAAGTGCCACCATGCGGATGAGGATTACCCGTGCAGAGGTCCCAGAAACCCCTTTCAGTCGTTAGGCCATATTTATGGCCGGGTTATAATGCAGCCTCTGGCAACAACGAGAGTGGGGCTTCAAAATAACGAAAAGTTGCATCCCGCAGGGGGATGACAATAAACTATAGAGAGTGACTGACTTTTCTACCCTACCAGGACATCACACAAGCGATAAACACCCAGATGACACAAAGTGCCACCATGTGGATGAGGATCACCGTGAAGAGGTCCCAGAAACCGCGTTCAGACAATTGGCCATATTTATGGCCTGCCTATATTGCAACCCCTGGCAAAAGGCAGGGTGGGGCTTCAAAAAACAACAAATTTCATCCTGAAAAGAACCACTAGAGAGAGAGAGTGACCATACTGAAAGTGTATTAGTTAGGTGACAAAGAAAAGTTCACAGAACAGATGACTTAAAAACTGAATATATGCAACTGTCGCAACATATAAAAAATACATGGGTGCTGACTGGCATTCAGAGGACAGAATGACATCAGAGGGCACAGTAAACAACAGAAAAGACAGAAAGCTTCACAACAAACTACTCCATCTAGATGATGGAACCATTTTGCTAAGATGCTTGACAGACTAACAAGTATTTGTCACACTAAAACAAACAACAGCAGAATAAGAACACCAATTAACTGTAAGCCATTTATACAGAGCATCAGTCAATTTTCCTACCACCTAAGCTATAAATACATAAATACAATAACTGTGAATTACCCATATATGTCGAGAAAAGATATAACTTGTCAATTCTTTCAACAAAAAAATGTATTTGTTAAGATATACCTCACTGTGAAAACTTAGTAACTGGCTAAAGCACTAAAATTCTGTATAAATATGTATTAGTAAAAGGTCATTTATTTCATGCTAAATGGACACAGAGGGAAAGGGGTCTTAACTCAATGAAAGAAAATTTATAGAAATTTGTATGTTTCAAAAGGGACTGAACAAGTAAATCAATTTATTCTTTTTTTTTTCCTTCTGCCAACTTTCCCCCAATGGAAAACAAGACCCTTAAACAACCATATCATCTTTTACAATTAGTGTCAGGTCTTGGTTGGATTTGATTGAGCCACTGTGTACCAGAGTTTCTATAAATGCTGAATGTTGGGCACAGTATACCAAACTTGACATCCCACATTCTGCCAATGATCTGGGTAGAGGAGTTCTGGCTACTGGCTTTGCTAAGACTGCCTTCTGTGCCAATTGTTTTTGTAACAATGGACAGTGATGGATTTTGTGTGTGGTTTTTGTTGCCACACGAACCGAACAACTATGGGGCAACCCGTCTGCTATGAAGTTGGAACTGTCATGTAATACCAGACCAGCCATTTTCCGTTCTCATGACATTTTCTGGTACATACTTCTGACTGAGTTGACACAAAGACCACGTCAATGAAACATACTGCAGGGGGAATCAAACACAGGAGCTGAGGGCAGGCAGAAAAACATGCTAGTCATTGGGTTCTCATGACCTCCAAGACCTTGGGTGATTTTCTAAATACACATTCATCATCATCATTTAGCAGGTCTTTTGCAGAACATCGCTCATCACGGTCTGCCTGAAAGAAACTTGGTCTCTTGCCAGCTCTCCCACCTCATGCACTTTCATACTCAAGGAGTCACTTACATCCTGTGCCCATTTTCGTGTTGGTCGGCCCCTGCCTCTCCTTCCTGGTACCATGCCTTCTGCTATAATTTTTTCCAATCCATCGTGGCGCTTGATATGACCAAAATATTTCAGCTTCCGCGAAAGAATGCTGTTTATGAGCCAATCTTCCTTGATTTTCAGATCTTTCAGGGTGTCAGTATTTCTCATCTTTTTCGTCTAAGATATTCTGAGAATCTTTCTATAGCATTTCAGCTCAAAAGCCCCTATTCTCTTTCTTAAATGACTGGGAGATAGTCCACGACTCACATCTCCTTGCTGGTGCTTAACCATAGACTTTTTAGACACTTTTTAGACTGTTTAATCTTTGCATTGCTATGGCCATCCACCTTTTAATTTCTGTCAAACGGTTTCCATTGCTATTTATTATAGAACCTAGATAATCAAAGTTTGTGACATTTTCAATTTCTTCATCATTTATTGTTATTTTTTGGGTGACAGCCAGCTTTATCTGTGGACATTATTTTCGTTTCTTTAAATTCAAGAACAGATTTTGATCTTCACTGTGGACAGACAAAATTAAATTGTCTATTCCCTTTACGCTGTTCGAAAGGAGGACTGTGTCATCTACGCAGCAAAGTTCCGGAATAGGGTTGCCACCAATTTTACATATTCACTTACATATTTAACTAATAATTTAGCTAGCAAACAGGGTATAACAAATTATATCCTCCACCATAACAGAAGTATAATAGGGATGGAAAAAATCTACATACCAATTGTTAAAGCAAATAAAAACACCTTCCAATACATATGTGAAACATCTTCCATTAAATATGTGAAACAATTTCCCAAAAATTTGTGAAAATCCCTCTAGTAAATATGTGCTTATGATTAAGCATGGCAGCAAAGTATTAGATTTAAGTTACCAAATGATATATAAACAAATTAATAGGACAGATCCTTTAAAGGCATTTCAGCAGGACATGCAACTGAGCTCATAACAAGAATAATGGAGATACAAACCCTGCACAATGCAAATGAAGTGAATCCATACTGGAAACAAGCACTTTAATTATTTCTTCAAAACAAAATGCAGTGAGGGACAGACAGACTGAAGTTGTAACTAAAGACGAACACAAACAACCTTCTGTTTATTCATGATAAGAAGTTAAAGCATAAGAAACATGGGCTATCCTCTGAATAACGGTCCTAAATTATCGAGGCGGAAAATATACCCTAACAGGGCCTCAGTCACGTGTCAATTGCGCACTTCCGGCGACTTCCAACACCACTGAGAGTATCCCCCATGCCGCGTGAGCGGCGTGGATTGGGGCTAAACTAGATGGCTGGGACTCACGAGCAGCAGCTACCGCATCTCCTGCAGCTTCTTTCATTTTATTTGACACGTGACTGAGGCCCTGTTAGGGTATATTTTCCGCCTCGATAATTTAGGACCGTTATTCGGAGGATAGCGGAAACATTTGCCCAAAGAAACAGTGGTTCTCTGATATTCAGAAACTATGTTGTATTTATTTAATAAAGGAAAACAAAGTACCCTTTTTTATGTCAGTGCCGCATCAAGCATATGACACTAGACTCATATTTTTTTAGACCAATCCGCATTCAATAGGTAATGTGACCAACATCACACAGACCACCTTTACTTCTCAGGATATTACCTGATACCTATTTGAGGTGGGGTCGACATGGGAGAAAAAGATTTTTTTTTTTTTAAGAAACAAATCCTCCTTAATGCGAATTTGAACCCAAGACATTTTGGTCGGGCAGATTAAACTCTAATCACTATGCTTCTTGAGCCCCTTCTATAATTAGACTTTCTTATTATTATTATTATAAAACTGTTTTCTTCTTGAATGTAAAGGTTTTCCTATTGAAGACACTGCTGCTGGGGTGTGAACTGTCAGGTCATCACACATTCTAGACTATGACTAATAGGATTGAGTGACTAGTTCCCTTTCTCATTGCCTTTCCTTTGCAGACTATTCACAGAAATTCTGGAAACTATCTAGTATCCATTTTTTTTAAAGACTGTATCAACCTCAGAGGCATATTGGGAATGGTGGAAAAAAGATGTAATAAGATTTGCTCAGAAAAATCTGGAATTAGTATGGAAATGTATTTAAAATCTGAAGTAAGTGCAATGTGAGTGAAGCATATAAGCAGAATTAGTGACATGTGTGTATATGATATAACAAGGACATACAGAAGGATACAATGACGGCACCATAACTACCCCACCTTTATTCTAAAAATATGCTGATCTTCTTCTTCGCGTTCACCAGCTGTAAACTCTGGTGGAAAGTTATGGTCATTGGTCCCTTTCTGGACTGCAGTCCTGATCCAGAACCTGAGTGTTACAGGCACATCAATTTTACAGATGTGTATGCAGAATGTTGTTCCTTG